AGAGCCTCATTCATCTGTTTTGTTACTTCCTGTGCTATCAGTTCAGGGTGTCCAGGTGGTTGATTATCAGACTTTTGCACCACATTTCCCCCAGAAATTGCCTTTTGTGGGGTGGAAGTCTGGGTTTGTGACTTGTTTAAATGCCTTCTCATTTTTGTTTTTTGTACTGTCCTTGGTTTAGCTCCTGGGTTTTTATTATGAAGTTTATTATAAGTATATTTGTTGATGTATTTAAAACCCTCATGGAATGATTGTTTCTCAGAGGTGTCTTCCAGACATAGCTGGTCTTTAGGATTTGAGTCTCTAATGCCTCTGAGGCTATCTCATTTTCATTATACCAGGAAGGAAAACAGTTTAGATCAATCATGACACCCTAGCCCAAGGAATACAATCAGCAACACCATAGCATCAAAGACCACTTAGAGGATGACAATTTGTGGTAGTTATAAATCTATCACCTTTAAAAAATAATGGGCCTCCTTCAAGGTGCATCTCTGTTATCCCAATGGACAACATGGGCAGCAGTTTGCAATTATAAGTCAATGATTCTCAGAAGCTAGGCCCAGACCCATGAGATTCAGGCAGATTTTTGGTTGCAAATCACAAGTTGAACTCCCTGTCCTCCTGCAGCGTTTCACTCTGCAAGTTTCTACTGCAGGTTTCAGCTGCCTTTCCCCTGAAGGAAGTCCAGCTTCAGATGGGAACTGATGATCCCTAAAAATTACCAATCATGGTGGTCTCATGTGCCTTTATTGCAGAGATTCCCTTCACTTTTCCAGTGGACTTGTTTTCATCAGAGAGCCTGACACAGGTGCTCTCTCTGTTGTTCACTTCTGGTGCTCAGGAAAATGGCTTTTATGTCTCCTTGTGCCTCTGCATTGTGTAACCATGTAGTTGCACAGCCAAAATGCTAGAGGACAGGTTGGGGAGGGAGTGTTTTTGGAGGCATCCGCATTGCCAGGCCATCAGCTGGTGGTCCTGCACAGGGGCGTCCTCCTCACCCTGTCCTGGTGGTTGGTCACCAGCCTGTCCTGGTGGCTGGTCCATTTATTTATGTGTTTCACACAACATGGACAATGGAGCAAGAGGTGCCTAATCTGAATGGGGGAATGTAAGGATTTTATTCTCCCCTCTCTCTGTGAAGCCATTTAGCTGCATTGCATTGAATGGGCCTGCCTGGGACTTACCATCCTCTAGGACAGAACTTAAAATCCTCCCCTCATGCAATGGGTGAGAATGTCAGGTCTGTGTCATATTCATCACCACTGATGTCATAAGAGGGATGGAGGGCCAATGTGATTGACAATACAGATCAGAAGAGCATTCAGTATCATGTTTCTGTTGGCAATGCAGCACTGCCCATCCTACCGTTCCCAAGGGGGACTGTTTTCCCTGCTACTCACTCAGGAGACTGAGTTAAACTGAGTTAAACTAACCTTAGTATGCACACTTTACTATCACAGATGATAGATATTTCTATCAATAGATAGACATAGATCAAGACAGTCACATAGAGTAATGCACCAAAGTGGACTCATTTATTTTATGGTCAATATAACTGAATATTTCACACCACTGTCTCCAACTCTATTAACACATGGACCACTCTATCCTCTCTTGTCTGACCTCTCACCTTTCACTTTCCAGCCTCAGGTCCCTCCCATCAGGAGCCCTCACCTGCACTTCCCAATCACAGAGAGCAGGAGCCGGCGAACTTGAATTTTCAGACCATTCTGAAGCACAAGCTTTGAGCTATGCCAGTAAGTGGACCATGGTGACCCAGGGAAAACAGGAATGTGATTTCTACAGGACCCCTCGAAGGCAGCTTCCTCTTGAACTATGGACTACTTAGGACAGCATTTATACTTAGAAATTTCTTCTGGTTCCTATCCTGAGGCCTGAGGTGGAGGCTTTACTGGGCTTCTCCTGAAAGATTTTCCCATACAGCATGAAATAACTTTTCATGATCAAGTTTAACTTACTGTATTTTTGTTCTGGCCTCATGTAATAGTTTAGCAAGAATTGCAGTGCTTCAGTGTGCCGGATTAGATGAGATAGTGAATAAAACACACATCACACTGTATTGGACTTGCTGATTCTTACTTGTGTGTGTGGAGCAATATGAACACAGCTCAGTAGGGAATTCTGCATGGGAGTTATTCCCCACTTCTTTCCCCTACTGCGATGAAGTGAGCACATTTGATTTAAAATTGCTTCCTTGAGTCCAGCTGATATTCAAGTGAAATATTTGAAATCTTTAGAACAATTTAAATTATCTCATATTATTCATGTATTTATTTTTTGCCTCAACCAGAATCCTGGCCAATATGTACCCATATATATTTTAAATGCTTTTGTGTATTACAAAAATTTCCTAATTTGATGTCCATTCACAAAATTAAATTCTTCTTTCATTTACAGATGGCTTAAAATTGTCTTTCCAATTTGGATATTCAAATATGATGAAAATAAGGATTCTTCAAATATAGGAAGCACAGAATGCGTTTAATGAAAGCTCGCAAAGGAATTATTATATGTTATAATATTGAGATAATACAAATAATATGAGATACAGATAATATGAGATAATACAAATCTCATAAACATGAAATTTTTTAAAATAAAAAATTGATTCATGAAAGGGTTACTTTCCATTTTTTCAAAATATTATACTGAATATTCACTCTAACAAGGTTTGTCAGTTTTTTATGTGCAGCTTGCTCTTTTTTTAGCAAATATGTTGTGAGATATTGAATAACAATAATCAAAGTATTGCCTCAATTTATATGATGAAAATGGTTGTACATGTGACTTTGAACAAACTAATACAACTCCGTACCTTTTGGGAGAAATCTCAGGTATTTTTAGATAAAACATGAGAAATTTGCATCTATCCCCACAGTGTACTCATAGGAAAATCTAGGGTCACAGGACAGCAAAATGCTCCAATCAGTAGGTTCAGTAATTGCCCCTGGACCTCGTGCCTTGATGATCTGTGGAAAACAGAGAGGAAAGTCAAGCTCTCTGTCATATCATCCCGTGCAATGTATGTGACCTGCTGAAATTGGTAGGAAGCCATGGAGTGGTGAAGCAACCTAGGTAGAAGAAATTCTCTAAAAATTAAGGCTAGTAAGTGAACCTCAGTATCTGTGGCCATGACAAGGTTTTGGGGTCTAAATTCAAAACTGCATTCAAAACCGCATTAAATATTACAAAAGAACTCTCAGGTTTTTTCCTAATGTTTTATTACTTAAAAAATTAAAATCAGTTTTTTATTCTGTACATAAGTTGTATTGAATTAGTGTTTTGGAAAGTTAATTGCTTTCTCCCCCACTTCCATACTTGATATTTCTAGGTAATCTCACTACCCTATGTTAATATACAACATTATTCATAAATAATTATGTCAGTATTCTGAAATATCTGCCTTGTAGTTTGTTTTGTATTTCAGAGTGGAGATATATTTTAAAAGAGTTTCTAAGTAAAAGCTCTCTAATATTTCTTCCAATGGCTTATAAAGTAGGTAACTTTTCTTGGTGAGAACCTTCATGTGATTAGGAGCAAGTGTTCATTTTGAACTTTGCTTTATACATGACATGGAGCATCTGGTCCTGTGTGCATGATCACATTTCCATAGATGCTGCTGTTTGAGTAAAGAGATGATCATTATTTTGTAAGAAATCATTTCCTTAGGTTAATGATTTGATAGTCCTCAAAAATATTTAACTGCCTATCAGCTATTAAATTGTTATCTATTCACACATGTTCTTGTGTAAACTAAGCATTGTACTTAGAATAATAGTCCTTAGTGATGACTGGAGATGTAGAAGTTCTTGTAAATGAACTTTTTCACTATTATTTAAAGAACAATTATGAACGGAACTTTAGCGACATTCATTACAGATAGAAATTTTCCAGTCATATTTTCTACTGTGCCGTAATCTGATATATATGGTTGAAGTATTCTATAAATGTTAGATTCTAGACTGAAATATCTGAAGCCTCATCAGACAAATATCTGAGATGTTGCATCATGGCATGACATATATAATTACTTTCCCCAAGTTCTTAGTAATGCTGATTGAGGAGCACAGGCACTGAAGAATTTTCCATATCATTAACTGAGGTTGTGTGTTTGTTCAGTTTCACATTTTGCAGGTAACACTGAAGTAGATTTCTTATTCATTTTATTTATATTTTTGCACAACAGGGGAGACTGTGTGCTGCACGCACTCATTGCAGTACTTTGTGAGCAGTCTGTCACAACAACAAAGGTCAGAATGATGGTAGAATCTTTTTTTCATGCAGGCGAGATTATTATGTCTATGGTGAGTTTATCTCCACTGTAAGATTTTTCTATCAGTTATAAGATTGGCCTAAGACTTTTCCACTCAGATGACATTTATGTATTTTCTTTGGTATATGAACTGTCTCATCATTGTTATGAGTAGGTGACTATTCCCCAGACATATATTCTCAGTATGATTTGTGTGCTGTGAGTTTTCTCTGATGTCCACTAAAGTTAGATGAATACATGAAGACTTTTATAATTAGAGGAAACATGATTGGTTGTCTACTGTGTTCTCTAATGAGTATTGTCTATACTATTGATTGGTGTTTTCCCCACACATAGGATTCTCACATGTTTTCTCTGTTTTTTGAGTTGTCTCTGGAAGACTAAGTAACATAATGTACTGAAGGTTTTCCCAAAAAACGAGAATGTTCATGATTTCTCTCTAGAGTGTGTTTTCTCATGTCTCCTAAAGCTAGATGATTTTTTGAAGGCTTTCTCACACAGTTGACATTTATATGGTTTTTCTCCTGTGTGTGTTCTCTCATGTTCACTAAGGTGACTGGATTTAGTGAAGGCTTTCCCACACAGATGGCATTCATATGGTTTTTCTCCTGTGTGTGTTCTTTTATGCTGGGCAAGAGAAGATGATTTAGTGAAGGCTTTCCCACACAGATGACATTCAAATGGTTTCTCTCCTGTGTGTGTCCTTTTATGCTGTAGAAGGGTAGATGAATCAGAGAAGGCTTTCCCACACAGATGACATTCAAATGGTTTCTCTCCTGTGTGAGTTCTTTTATGCCGTTTAAGGTTAGATGATTGAGTGAAGGCTTTCCCACAGAGGTGACATTCAAATGGTTTCTCTCCTGTGTGGATTCTTTTATGCTGTTTAAGGGTAGATGATTGAGTGAAGACTTTCCCACACAGATGACATTCAAATGGTTTCTCTCCTGTGTGTGTTCGAATATGTCTTCTGAATTTAGATAAATAATTAAATATTTTCCCACACTGCTGGCAATCACACTGATTCTCATGTGTCTGTGTTCCCTCATGCTGATTAAAATTTGAAGTTGGACTGAAAGATTTTCTGCACATGTAACCTTCATATGGCTTCTCTACTATGTTAGTTTTGGTGTGACCTCTAAGCTCAGCATAACATGTAAAGCTTTTACCACCTTGATGACATTTGTTTGAATGTATTCCAGATTCAGTTACTTTGTTTCTTCTATGCAGGGATTCATGGTTGTAGGTTTTGCAACACAGATGATTTTCACAGGTATTTTTCTGAATATTTTTCCATTCCTGTAGTATAAGTTTAAAGTTTGATTAATGTCTTTGCCACATAAATTTCATAAGAACATTTGTTATCTAGTGTGTAAAGCTTATGATTCATAAGACCAGAACTTGGAGGAAATATTTTCTCACATAGAAAAAAATCATATCACTACTCTCCACTGTGAATCATACCACATTTTCTAAGGTGTGACCAGCTTTTAATATGTTTCTCAGTAGATATTCATATGAATATGCCATGATGAAATTTTGTTTTCTGTGTCCATGTATGACTACTGACTATGAGTTTATTCTTACAGTAAGTTTATACAATGTTTATGTGTGGTGAGAATTAAGAAGTGAGGAGTCAAGACCAAGCAGCGATTAAAGTCTTCCTTTACACCAAATTCAGAGGATTGTTTTGTACCAAAGATAGAACTCAGGACCTTTTTCTTATAAGGCAGGCAGGGCACCACAGAGTTAAACCCCTGGCCCTGAAAGGGCTTTTTGACAAAAGCTTATCTTTTGGTAGAAAATCACATAATATACCTGGGTATATTTCTATGGTATTTTCTCTATATGAGCATTCCCTAATAAACACTGAAATCTTGAGATATGGGGTTTTGTTTTTCTTTACATAAGCATGTGACATTTCTGTCAGTTATGTAAATTATTTTTAATTTATACTGTCAAATCGCATGACATTTTTATTTCATTTTGCATCTTCGATACATTTGCAAGTGTATCTACAATATTTTTACTTTTTTCTGAGTTCACAAATTGGTTCTCAACTCATCTTATTTTGGCTAAGTGAAAAATTCTCAGAGCCTCTATTTCAGAGGGGCTTAATCTCATCTAAATTGCAATGGGGCAATTAAGCTCAATTATTAATTTATCCCAATAAAACTTCTTTCATTTAAATAAGTGTTATTGTATATAAACTTTCAATTACCTTGGTGGTGGGTGTGTCATTTCCTCCAATGTTCTGAGTCCTTATCCTTTCTAGTATTTTTTGATCACCCTTTCTTTCTGTGGTGTTTAAAATAACAAATAATTAATCATATTTTAGGAAAATAGAAATGATGAAAGGCACCAAGGCTCAGTATCTGTTGCTCTTGAAATGACAGGTATTTCAGTGTAATAAAATTAGATTTCACCAAAGAATCAAAATCAAAATCTTACAAAAATTTATGAAGATTGAAATATAAGGTATTGATTGATCTGTGGATTATACAAGATATCAATGAGGAAATTTAAATATTCCTGGAATCAAATGGAAACTGAAACAAAAAAATTTCAAAATGCAGGACATCTTGAAGGAGGTTGTAAACAGACATCCATAGATATAACTGACTGGATTAAACATTCAAGAGATCTCAGCAAACACTACAGTTGTACATGTCCAATGCCTTGAAATAACAAAAACAAAGAAAAGGCAGATCCCAAAAATAGAAAATATGTAATAAGCTGGTGAGCTGAAATTAATTAGAGATACAAATAGCAATGAAATAATCATTTAATGTAATTTATTTAGAAAAGTCAGACTGTGCAACAATGACATACATAAAGAATTCTCAAGCCTGATTTATTCCAGCTTAGATGAACAAGTAAATGTTAGAACTGAAATCCTTGAAACACCAAGGATCACAATGATATATTTTAAAAACAGACATCAAACACTGTAATTCTTTTTTTTTGGTACTGGGGATCGAACTCGGGTAATTCTTGATAAAAATTCATACATGTCTCAACACATATGATCTACCAAAACTGGATCTACCTGATATGGAAAATATAAGCAAATCCAAGACAAACAATGAGCTTGAAGTATCAGACAATTCTCTCTCCTCAAAGAAAGACCAATAACATGAAATATCTGCTGAAATTTAGCAGACTGCACTGGAATTATGGACAAGAATGTTGCTAAAGATTTGCACAAATGGGAAAGAAAGAAATGCTTCTTCATTCATTTTCTAGAGCCAGTATCAAACTAACAACAGAGGACATAACAACTGAAGAATAGAAAATTATAGGACAATATTTTTGCAAATATTCACGTAAAATTATTTTTAATTTTTCTTAGAATTTAAATTCAAGAACACAGATATTCCATAGCCACTCATTCATTCATGGTATGCAAGAATGGTGCAAAATGCCACAAAGAAAAATTCACAATTCACTACATGAACAGATTCAATCATGAAAATACCAAAATGATGTCATTTGATGTACAGAAAGCCTTTCCAATAGTAAATATCTTCAATGATCAAAACACATGTAGTAACTACATAAAGAAGACCAAATGTCCATATTAATAACAGTTCATTTCAGTAAATTCAGAAAATTAAACTGAATGGGAAAACAAAAAAAATTTACATTATAATCAGTAGAAAAATATTTGCTTTCCTCCAAAAGTTCTGTTCAGTATTTTAGTGGAATATGTATCAAAGTAATTAGGAAATTGAAAGTAATAGAAATAGGAATAATGTAAGATGTCCAACATCAAATGAAGTCAGATTATTCCTATGTGAAAATGCTTTGATTCTTTCATTAGAAGACCCATCAACAACAGAAAACTTTTGGATTGAAAAACCAATTTATCAAAACAACAGGATCGAGGGGCTGGGGATTTAGCTCAGTGGTTCTGGCAAATTCCCTGCAAGTGCAAGGAGCTGAGTTCAATCCCTGGTACCAAAAACAAAAACAAAAACAAAAGAAAACAACAGGATCCAAATATTAAAACATCTTTTATTCTAATCACAAAATATTAGCTGAAAATAATTCAGAAAAATTATTCTGTTTTTTTTAAAGACACGATCTTACCCTGAAGCTGAGGCTGTCATCCCAAGCTGGCTCTGAACCCCCCTCCCCATGAGCCCTCCTCAGCCTCCAGTATGCTGGGATTACTGGTGGGCACAAACACACCTGGCCCAGGTAATGAATCTTTACAAAATGAGGGGAAATGTAGTCTTTTCTACAAAGGGCATATTGAACATACTTCCATTTTATATGAATCTCTATTTTTGAGAAATCCTACTTTAGTAAAATATAACCATGTTTGTTTCCCCATTCCTAAGAAGGACAACTTGAGACAAAGCAGGCACAGGACAGTCCACCTGTGATGGAGTCCACCTTGAGTAAGCTGCAACTTCATACATTGGCTTCACATATTCAAAGTGAGTCTGCCTATTAGCCCACAGTGGCTGCCTGAAGAGTCAGCAGTTGGTGTCTGGGAAAGGAATAACTCCCCACACCACTGGTTATGGCAAAGGTCTCAATGATACGGGACACTGATGTCTTGGATGGCAAGACAATAGTGCAGCTGAGGGCAGCATGACTCATACAGAAAACTCCTACAGGGGCAAAATTAATCCAGGGTAAAAACCAAAATTCCCATTAATGAATGATATGATCTTACTAGAATATCTTGTTCCCTGGTTGCCAGGAGCCTGCTCATGTCAGTGGTCTCCACTTTAGTGTTCCCTGCACCACCCCTTATCCCTTCTAGAAGCTGTGTGTTCAATAAATAGTGGCAAGCTCGAGGAGAAGTTGTCTTAGGCAGATAAGAGCTTTGACTGTCCTGGGTCCCCTATGTATGCATTAATATACTGTCTTTTCTTTCTTTAATCCAACTACTGTACCATTGGTCAGTTGATTGAGGTTCTCAGCATCCTCCAGTATACCTGCAATAAAACACTGTAACAGACATATTTCTTGGTAACAGGATCTGTTCTGCCCAGCAATGATGACTTCTTAACAGCTTGCCAATTGGGATAGAAGGGGAGGTCATGCCCTCACTTTTAGAGCATGGCCCAGTGATGACAGTGAATCAAGAAATAAAAGTTGGGCTACTTGACTGCTTGGTGCATGGCTGGCTTTGTGTAGCCTAGGAACACACCCTTCTGAACATGGAAAGCCTTACTGAGATAGTTTCAAAGTCCATTAGCCACATTGGAAAATTTTTGTCTCACAACTTGGCAACCAACATAGAGCCCTCAATGCACTTGGAAAAGGCCTGCACCCTCCCCTTGGAAGGAGGTGTGCCCTGCTGAGTTGTAGTGGATTCCAAGATCCTAGGTGGTCAGTGCCTCATTTCTGCAAGTGCCCCCACGGTAGAAAATTTCTCAGAAATGCAGGGGAGGGCTCAGAACAAAAAACTGCTGCAACTGAACAGGCAGCCCTGTGCACAGGTCAAGGTAAAAAGTTCAAGAACAGTGACAACTTATTTCTTGGTCATTGAGTCATTCCAAGGGCAGGCTGTGTGTGAGTAAGACATGTCTCACACACAAAACTAATGGAGGACCCGGATCCATCTGCAGTTCCCCCAAGAAACTCAGTTGGAGACAGACATGGTGTTTGGGCTAGAGAGCATAAAGTCTCCAGATTTCAGGAGCTTAATCTTCTAGGGAACATCTTATACTTGGAAAATGTAGGATGTATAATAATCAAATTTAAACCACTTTAAAGAAAAAGAAACTAAAAGTAAATTTCCTCCAAGTAGTCCCTTGGGGGAAGTGGTCCCATACTGGAACAACAGTGAGAGAACTAATAATACAAATACATCAGAAATGAAAAGCTGTGGTTTCAGATAGACCTAAGAACCTGCTCACAACCTTTTCAAGTTAAGGTCCTATGTAGATTGGGTCACTCAACTTTTGATAGAATGATCACATTAATGATAAAACCTGTGTGTCCTGAAAAGAGGTTGATTATGTCTGAGGTTGGATGTGTGGCTCAGTGAGCATGTATCCCATAAAAACAGAAAAGGGAGAGGAAAAAGAGTAAGTAATGTGATCCCTCTGCACCTGCTTACTTCTGCCTTATAACCAGGGGCCAAGCCTACCAAAGCAGGCAAATCAAGCAGAACAGATTAAGCTCTAAATGAGGTATAGCAGGCCACCACAGCATCAGCTGCTTTCTTCCCCCTCTTCATATTCACACCCAAAGGATGACACAGCCAATACCATATCATCTTATCTGCAAAGTTCTAAGTCACTCTTTGCAGCTTCATTCCCTTCCCTTTCATGTTTGAGCCCTAAGATGACATAGCCACTCAGCTCTCATTGTCTGCACCACAAACTGAGCCACTGTCAGCAACCTCAGCCCCTGCCTGTCTCATTACCCATCTGTGCCTGGACTGGAAGAGGAGCTGGAGCAAGAAGAAAAGGATGTTCAAACTGACCCTTTCCTTCTCTAGGTGAAGAGAAACCATAGTTATTTCCCACCTCCTGGAGGTTCCTCTGGTGTGTGGGTAAGATTCCTCACTGCTGCTGTATCCAGTTCTAAAGTAAGGACTTTAAAAGGGAACTAAAGCCCATATCAGAAGATCCACAATGGTGGCTCAACAATTACACCAGTGATTGGACCCACAATTGTACACCTGCATTAATTACTGTCTGTACTAGGAATTCTATTCCCTTGTGAGAGAATATGGTCAGGAGAGTGGAGATGGCCTTTGGGGAGGAGAACCTCTGGCTTCCCCTGACATCCTGGCTGTAGATGTTTACATTCCTAATCAGGAATCCTGGTGGAATAATAATGTGACCCAATGGGTGCACATCAGAAACTTCAGAAACAGGATTGTAAATGGAATAAGGAAGTCAGTTCCCTGATCCTGAACAATAACTAGAGTTTTTAACATCCACCTGGGAATATAGCAATCCACTAACTTCATAACAGAGTAACCAAAGGAGAAAATGGTCTGGACTAAATTTGAGGACCCCCTAACTCAAGGCAAAGCTCCACATTGTTACACACAGCTGGCCAGATATCTCAAAGAATTCCAGTATATTCAGGATTGGAAAGACTAATAACTAGTGAAGTTAAAAGAGAAGCACAAAAATATATCCAAAGTGTGATTTAAAAAAAAACCCAAGATAGTGTTTTCTACCATAGAACAGATAGAAAAGGAACCGGCCAATCCAGTAGGTCAAAAGTGAAGCAAGGCCATCTGAAGGGGTCCATTGTCAAGGACTGAAAAAGGAAAATGGGAAACAACTCTTGTAAAGGTGGCAAATGAGGTCACTTTTAAAGAAATGGAACAGAACGGAAGAGGGAAGGGAAGTGATAAACATGATGATGACAAAAACAGGAGGGTCAGGGGATATTTCATGTTGATGGCTCCTACCAAATGACTCTGATAAATCCAGATGTAGGACCTAAAATGGAGATTTATTAGATTCTTAGAGACTTTGGATTGCTCCAAACCTCATTTTATGATCAACCTCCTAGGTTACACTGTAATCAGAGAGCCCTTAAATATGAGGACTAAAAAGAGAAGGATTTATGGCTTCTATTTTTGAAGCAATATAGGTCAAATTTCAAAATTGAACAGCTCATGGAAAATGCCTCTTTGTCCCTGAGACAGGAACAAATATCCTAGGCAGAGATTTAATATCTAAGTTAGAGACAGGCCTAAACATTATGAAAATGAAGATCAAAGTCTCCCTTAACCTCTTGATTCCCCACTCTAAATACAATATTTTCCTGAAGTCTGGAATATAAATGGGAATCCAAATGGATGAAATAATTCCCTGATGACAAATGAATTAAAGAACAGGAGAGAATTAGTCAGTAGAAAATACTACCCAATATCCCTAGAAGGGGGCCTTCAACTGAACCCAATCAGAGAAGGACCAATAAAACTCAGGCTCCTGGTATCTTGTAAGTCAGCTTTTAAAACTTCAACACTGCACTAACAACAACAACAAAGACACTGGACAGCTCTTATCAACTAGTGCAGGACTTGGGAACAGTAAACTAGACGATCCAGAACAGGCATTCTATGCTCTGAAAACCTGATCCTCTCCTTAGCAAAATTCTCTATCACCACAGATGCCTCAGGGTTAGAGATGCAAAAGCTGCCTTGTGGGGTTTTCCCTTGGCTGAAGATAGTAGAGACATATTTTCTTTTTAATTTCAAGATCCTGGTAGGGGAAGAAATAAAAATATCAGTATACTGTCTTCCCAAAGGGATTCACTGATACATCTACGTTGTTGAAAAAAATCTTAGAAAATTTCTTGAAATATTCACTCTCCCTTCCCAGATTAAGTTGATTCAATATGTGGATGACTTATTAGTTTACAGGGTTCTCAAAGCGGAAGTGACAGGCACCACTAACAGCATACTTAATATCCTAGCTTGGCAGGATGTCACAGTAACTAGAATTAAATTACAAATTCTTGAATATGAAGTTAAATGACTGGAACAGTTCATTAGTGAGGGGAGATGGAAGCTACATCCTGAGTTAATGGAGGGCATTACCAACATGCCTCTACCCTGCACTAAAATATATCATAGAGTTTCAGAGATCATCTGAGAATTTCTATTTATAAATTCATATGCCCTGAAAAACCACAGGCTTAAATCTTACTCTATTACTGTAGGAACCTGGCCTTCATCTTCAGAATTCAAAGAAAACCGAACAGGTAGAAAACCTTAAATAACCTCTCATCACTGATGCAGTCTTTGTGTTGCCCTTGATCAAAAATCCATCCCTCTATTTGTCTTGTCATAAAAGGAAAGGACCCTCAGCATCCTAACTCAGGAACATGAAGGTAAAAGGCAATCAGTACCTTATTTGTCTAAGTTACTGGACTCACTAACCTGGGGTTGGCCAGAATGAATCCAGTCCTTTACCACAGTCACCATGCTGACTAAGAAAACAGAAAACTGACTTTGATGGGGCCTTTATGGTCAGCAAAGAACATCAAGTCTGGGCAATTCTTCACAATAATGGGGGAAGAATTCTAACTGACTACCAGATATTAAAGCATAAAGACACCTTTTTGGTGAAAGATCATATCAGCCTTTCCTCTCATAGCTTCCTGAAGCCTGCTGAATTCTTCTTCAAGGATAACACCCAAAGTGCTGTGGACCATGTTGTATGGATCTCAGACATGATCAGACAAGGTTTGACCAACCTTAGAGAAACTCCATTTGCTACTATATAAAGCTTTTCATATGTGGTTCCTCAAAAGAAAGAGACATAACAGGTACTCTGTTATGAACAGGGAATAAAGTTCTTAAAGAGAAGGGCAACAACTATACAGACTCAAAATGTGCTTTTGCTATGGTCCATACTTTGAAATATCAGGGTTGAATGATGTCTGATTAACAGGAAAGAACTGGACCTCCCCTATAAAAAATTAATCATGCAGGTTTAAGAAAGTTTCATGGTGCTTGAAGATATTTCTGTAGTACAGGTACCATGACCCCAGAGGGGGAGTTCAATGGAAGCCTGGGAACCATGCAAGCAGATGAGATTGTGAAAAAGTCAGCCCTCCAATCAGAAGCCCCTGTATTCCACCTCATCTCCTTTCTCACTTCACCATTATTCCCTTATTTCTGCAAACGGAAAATATAGATTCAGACAATGGGAGCCATTTTACTGTTAACATCCTTAGAGTACACAGAGGGACCTAAAACCTTCTGAAAATTGTATATACCATGACATCCTTCATACTCTGCAAAAGAACACAGGATGAATCAATTCCTAAAAAGTTATTTAGCTACTGTAATACTAGAAACTAGCCTACCCTGGAAAAGTGGCTTCACACTGCATTCTTCAGAATCAGAGCTGCTACAAGAATTGATATTAGTCTGTCCCCCTGTGAGATGCTCTATGGCCTCCCTTCCTAGACCAGGGTACTGACATCCTCACCTTTGAAACAAAAGACCAATTAAATAGAAACTATGTACTCAGCCTTTCTACTCTGCTTTCTCTCTGACACAAGGTTTGCTTGTACAGACTTTGCCTCTTGACTTCCTGTACACCACATCCCACTGGCCAACTGATTATACCCTGATCAAGATGTGGAGAGAAGAAAACCTCCAACCAACTTGGGAAAGATACTCTCAGCTGTTACTTACAATTGACAGCACTGTACACAGGCTGATAAATTTTGGACTCATTACACTACAGTTTAAATGTTACTTTCATCTGAAACTGAGGGAAAATGGAGGCAAATTCCAAATTCCACAGATACCAAGGTACACTTTAAAGTATTATAATGGGGCTTTTACATTTAGTTGAGGTTTCCCAAGGTATCTTCACTATCAATGTAACTGTGGTTCCCTCTCCTCAGAATAGCACAATTCATGCATGTTTTGTCCCTTCTAGAAACTTGAACAACCAAAAGCAGCAGTCTGGAGCTGTTAAATATCTCTGCCCTTCTAGCTAAAAGGATATAAATATAGTGTTTTAAAAGGTCTCTGTAATGACAGGAATGACATCTGGTGGACTACTCAGTATAAGGTTTGGACTGATAACCTACCATCTTCAAATTCACTGTGAGCCTTTAAAAATATAGATAATATGAGGAAATGCTTTTTTTTGCTAAATGAAAAATTCTTTATTGCTTTCAGTTCTCATTCTTTTTTAATTTTTTTTGTTTAATTCTTTTATTGGTACATGTTAGATATACAACACAATTACTTTTCTCATTGGGAATTGTACCTTGACATAATGCACGTTGGTTCTTATTTCTTTCCCCATTCCTAGCCCTCCCTTCACCTCCTAGACCCTTTCCTATTTACAAAGACTTTATTTCCATTTTTTCCATTTCTCATCATTTTTCCTTTCCTGTGACCCTCCCACTACCCCTACCCCTTTGGACATTTTCTTCCTATTTGCATTATCGATTATTCATTATAATAATTGGTACATTTTAGGTATACAATATAACGACATTCATCATTGGAAATTTGCATCTTTACATAATCTCACTTGGTTCCTATTTTTATTTACAAAGATTCTGTTCCTACTTTTCCATTTTCTCATAGTAATCCCATTCCCTTCTATCCTTTCCCCTAGCCCTCCCACTTCCTTCCCTTTTGCCCCTTTTCTTCCTATTTCACATTACCTATTATACATTTAAGTCCTTATTTACACTTTCAGTTTCTCACAACAGAGAAACTATTCAGTAACTGCCAGCCCCTGGAGTGTAATCTCCTACTCCTGGTTACTGATGATCCTCAAACTATGAATCAAGAACCTGGAATTATGAGAAACTATGGATTGGGTACAGAAACCTCAGGATATGACCTGCTCAGTTCCTTTGCTTTAAAGCTGGTCAAAAACACCCCCAACACACCCTCTCCTTCCACCATCATGGCTGTCACCCTCCAGACTAGCTTAATGGCACCTCTATGGTTTAGCAATGACTCTGCTAATGTAACAGGGGTAGAAGTTAAAGATGTTCAACCACCATTGGCAATTTAGACTTTATTCAAGAAATCATATGTTTTCCTGAAATGGATTAAATATCCTCTTAACAACCTCAAGTATAAAAAGAATTGCTATGCAGGTGGAGCATGTCAGCCAGAGGCTCGGGTAGTCTGATTTCCCATAGGAGAGACCTCAGTCATGTTGGAATCTATGACAGCCATCTTTCAAGACCAGGTGGCCAGGGGTAATGATTCCTGCCAGATTTTGTCATTTCTGCTGAAAATGATGAGAGATCATAGACATAAGCCTACAATAAACATAAGACCCAAGTCCTGGATAACTAATTACACCTCATGTATAAGGTGGGGGCAGTGAGAATTCCAGGGTAGTGCATGGAGATGTACTGATGTTAGGTTCTTTGAGGACCTGGGCAATCAGGCATCATGGGCTGTGGCTCAGGCACTTCTCTGGTGCTATTCAGGGCTCCATTACTCAAGAACTTAGTGGCCACCTGGAGTGGGACTTGTGCTTTGGTGCAATTGGCCACCCCTTTCCCCCTTACCCTTAGAAACCCTAATCCACCCCCAAATCTATTCTGCACCAGGGAAAATACCTATCACAGGGAGGATCATCAGATTCTCATATGGACATTGACTACAGAGCATTCCCTAAGGGAGTACCCAAAGAATTTCAGGCTAGAAATAAAATAGCAGCAGGACTGGATTCAGTACCCTTTGTTGGTCCACCATCAACAAAATGGACCAAATGAGAAATACTATAACTAACTGAGGTCTGTAAAGTGTATTAGAGAATCTACTAAAGGAATAGCAGAACAATTAGGCCCCTGCAGAAAAATGGCCTGGGAAAATAGTCTGGCTTTAGAAATGATTTTGGAAAAAAAGGAGGAGCCTGTGTACTGACAGGCAGCCAATGCTGTACTTTCATTCCAAATAATACAGCTCCAGATGCTATTATTATCAAGGTGCTGGAGGGTGTAACAACACTTGCTAATGAGTTAGTAGCAAACCCAGGATTAGGTGACCCTTTCTTTAATGGAATGCATCAATGCTTTAGATCGTGGAAGGGAATAACTACCTCCATCCTGAGTCCTGTTATCACTGTATTTGTGGCAGCGGCTCTAGTGGGATGCTGCATCATTCCCTGGGTAAGAGGGATGTGAAAAGCCAGAGAGAGACAGCCCTTACTAAGCCATCCTTGCCTGCCTACAAAATCAAACTACTAGTATTATAAACCTCAGACCGAGATGACAAAAGTCAATGATTATTCAGTTTGAAGGAAAGTATAACAATGTGTCACAAAGAAGGGCAAATTTTTTGTAAAAAGTAAACTTTTTTTATCAAGGGGGATATTTTGAATAATTCCATTTATAAGAATTCATTATGCCAAAATTCTCTTTTTGTAAATGTGCACATGGTTATTTTCCCAATCTTTGCAAGAATAACTTGGGACAATATGGCCATATGCTAGTCCACCTGCACTAAAACTTTGTAACAAAGATTCTTCTGGGTCACAGGATCTGTTCTGCTCAGCACCACAGCTCCTTAAGAACTATGGAATCAGGTGAACATGTGAGGCAATGTTGCCACTAATAGAGCATGTCACAGTGAAAACAGTGAGTCAAGAAATAAAGCCATGTGGAGTGACTGCCTGGTGTGCTGCCTGGCAGTGTCTATCCTAGCTATTCCCCCCTCTGGAGAAGTCAAGCTTTGCTGAAATACTTTCAAAGATTTTTAACTGGTTCTGTTGTGAACCCAGGGATTTTCTCTCTGACACAGTATTTTCCAAAAACTATCAAAATATAAGTTCAAACAAATATTAAATTATTTCTACATTTAGAATTATGCAACATGATATAGGGATTGAAAAAGATATTATAAGATCAAAAGAACTCTAATATATCTCAGGTTGAAATGTCACCTACTATTCATATATGGAAAGAGAGTTGAATATAGAAAACAGAAGGGATAACAGCATCAAAGTAGACATTATTAGATTAGTTCATTGACAAGTACTTTGCTCAATAGGAGTTTGGGGACAGGACCTGGTTGGAATGTGGAGGTCATGTGGACACGACTGGGAAAGCTCTCATCTCCACCTGACCCTCTCTTCTCACCTCTTTTTCTCTTTTGAACCCCACCTTCCGCCACCTGTGCAGCTTATCAGGCCATTCTCTTATGCTTTTCTGCATTGGAGTTGGTCAATAATAAAGTGCAACCTCAGAAATTGTGTATTACAGTAAAGATTTTCTTTCTCTAAAGTGTTGGCCTTAAATATTTTGGAAGAGGAACAGTGACTAATGCCATCTCTCATGTTCATGAGGTTACAGAATTGATATTGTTTTCATGATCTTGTTATGAAAGAGATCTGCATATTCAGTGAATTCCAATGATGATATTAAATACAGTTCTTTGAAAGATGAGAAAACTAATCTTACAATTCATCAGCAAAAGACACACATGCAAACACACACACACCCAGAAGAAAGCCTAAGCAAAACAATCATCAGAAAGTTGAGAAAAGCTAAAAATCAGTGCAATATTAAATACCCATGTATTAAAATAAAAGTACAAAAATTGACACAATATTGGCATAAACAGAGACAGAAGCAATAGACTGGAGGACACTGAAAGAAAATTACATACTAACAGCTATCATTTTCCTGAAAAGAAGACAAGCATATGTATTGAATAAAAACTAGTCTGATAAATATTTTCAGAAAACTGGACATTCATAAATAGATAATTAGAAGTGGATTCCAAACTTTCACAATGTAAAAAATTGTCCACTGAATGTATATCAAATACCCAGGTATATTGCCACATTTATTTGAACAAGAAGATAGGAGAAGGAAATGTTTCAGTCTTCAAGCAAATGTAAAAGTTTCCTGAACAGGACTCCATTAGAAAATGTACAGGAGAAATACTCAATAAATGGGGTAATATCAAACAGAAAGTATTGCACTGCAATAAAAACAATACCAAATGAAGACACAAACTATACAACAGAAGAAACACTTTGAGAGCAATTCTTAATACAGAGCAGTATGATTATATATATATATATATATGAATACATATGCAAAACTAAAATAAAATAGATATGCATCAATAGAAAAGAAAATGATGTACATAGTCATTTCTCCAAAGAAGAAAGGAAAAGAGAAGTAATTAAATGAATATAATTTCCACATCATTGCTTATCTGTGAATTACAAATCTAAACTACACTGAGATTTCATCTCACCAATTAGAAGGAGGATCATATAAAAGTAATAATAAATTCTCTTGAGCATTTGAGGTAAAACTAGATATAAATTTTTCTCATAAATGATTAAATTCATTATTAAAATCACTGTGAAGTTTCCTCAAAGAGTAAATATTGATCTACCATTTTATCTTCTTAAAATGTTGATACATTTCCTGAAGAATTTCTAAAATATTTCCACTCTTTAAGTATCTTTATTCCAGCAAAATACATGTTTTCCTAGCTGTGAAAACTTCCTAAGTGCACATAGGAAAATGGACAAAGGCAGAGAATGTGTATTTATGCACAATGAAGTATTTTTTAGACACACAATCTACACTAAACAAAATATGCTATGATTAAACTTGAGGTCATGTTGCATAAAATGAGTCAGATTAGTTAGGTAAAATATCAGTTTTGTCTCATAAGCAGAAGATGGAAGAAAATCTGAGGTTGGATTGGCATGTTAGTAAAGGGAAAAACATTAGAGAAGTAGAGGATGAGAGGAAGGAGAGAGGAAAAGGCAAATATCTAAGGAGAAGGAGAAAAGAATCAAAATATGTTGTGTGCATGTGCAGGTTTTATAAAATGAAACATATTAGTCCCTCAAATTACCATACAACTAATAAAAAACCCCAAAAATAGTCACTCAAATTGAGTAAAATTGGCAAGTGTCAAATTATATGTTCTAGGCATTTGTCCAATTATAGGTTGTAGACATTTGATATTGTAGAATTTGGTGAAAATTAATCACACAAATTAAAATGGAAACAAAAATCTGTGCTGGTACACAGGGAAAACATTTATGTTTTCTTATGTTTCTCTTATGAAGAAAACAGACATTGACAAAATTAATTTCAATGAGTACATATTGTTCTCTCCCAAATCTGAAACAATGATAGGAAAACACATGACTTGTGATGTTCCACTAAATTAAATGATAACACTTGTAACATTTTTCACAGGGTCTTCGGCTACATTTTAGGAAACATCATTCCCTTCTCTGAAGCCACATCTCACATATGCCATAGCCAGGCTCCCATCTGTATTGAAGCACGAGTCTCTGGTTCTCACCTTGACTGCAAATTTGGGCAAACCTTTCTCATCCCATCACCCACAGCAATGGAGATGCCATGAAAGGGATTTGGGAGAATATTGGAGAAGAGGAGGTTGAGGAGAAGGAGAGAGGAAATGTTAAGGAGGAAATGAGGGGCATGAGAAGTACCAATGTATGATATATGCATTTACAAATCGGGTTAAATGAAACATTACTTTCTCTATGAGTAATACAAATCAATTACAAAGAAACAAGTGATAATAAAGACTGTCACTTAAACTGAGTACATACGTAAACAGAGGTCCAATGGTAAGTTGTACAAATATAGAGCACTGGATATTATAGAAGTTTATAAAGATTAAATTATCGAAAATTAAAATGGTGACAAGAGCCTGTTCAGGTATAGAGAGAAAAATCTTTAATGGAATCTCTGAGGACAATAGCCCCTATATGAAATGGTAACTCCAGTGTATACATAAATCTTCTATCCAACCGCAGCAAAAGCAAAGATAAATACACATTCTGGAGATGGTCATGTAAAAGAAATCCTGAAAAAACTTGAAAAAATCGCCCATGTCCTCTCCCACATTGTACAGAGCATCACTCACTTTAAAAGTCTTCACTTTGCATACTGACCATGCTCCCATGTGTAATGAAGCACCACTCAGGGGCCCCTACCTGGACTCTGAAGTTGAGGAATAACTCTTCCTTCCACCATCCACAGCATTTCTTTGTCCACTGAAAGAAAATTTAGATCTGATTTGCAGAGCTGGTATCCTGTTCAGGGAAAAGTAAGCAAGCACGTTTTTATTTTTGTGGCAACAAACATATTTTGATCAAGTACAAGGAATGCAATTGAGAAGAAGTAAGGAACTAGAGGTTAGACCTAGGAAATATATTCAGGAAACATCACTGAGTGAATTTGTGACTATTAAATGGAAATCTAAAATGTGTGCCAAAAGAGGATTCTCTGTCAGGATTCTTATATTCATTCTTGTTTTTAAATAAAATGCAGAATTATCAATATTTCAAAAATAATAAAATACATATGTCCATGGTAAAATGAATACTATTTAAATAGATTCTAACACAAACATTTCAAGAATGCTCACATTACATTTATTTTCATGTCTGGCTCAAAACTCTACATGCTGACTTTAAAACAATACTTTTCCAATTATTTAGTGAATTTATAATTTTGAAAATATTCATTCAATACAGAGTTTTACTCTGGGTTTTGCAGATTTGCTTGCAATAAAGGCATGAAATATTGATGAAGTCAACATTCAAGGTTGTTAAAAACATCTTGTAAATGAATGTGATTGAGAACTTTCATGAAAGTGTAAGGTTTATAAACAAATTCAGACAGAGAGTTAAGTGGGTATGCATCACACATTCTACAAATCTAATGCTAGAATAACTGCATGACTCAATATAGATAGAGACAATGGTGGACTCACCAAGGGATAGGAGATGATTAATGTTCTCCGCCATCACATTTCTGTACAGCTTTCTCTGAGGTGTGCCCAGTAGGGCCCATTCCTCTGGGGTGAATTTTATGGTCACATCTTCAATTGTCAGTAACTTCTAGAAGGTCATAGACACTACAATTTAGATAGAGGAATAGCAACAAAGTTCTTTGCAAGAAAAATCAGATTATAGCCCAGAGGCAGAGGAAAGCCTGGATACAGAGAAATTGAATTGTTTAGGGCAACACTATTCCTTCTCTTTACAAACACACTCTGAGCTCATAAATTCATTACTATGAAGGATAATTACATTATGAGAAATTTTACATATTTGGTATTGAAAACCTTTGAAATTTGTCAATAGAATGGTAGTTATAACTTTTATGAAGGTTGTTATGAAATATTCCATTTCAAAATTTTATGTAAAAATATCTGCTCTGATCATATTCAGGAAAATTCTTACATAAAAGAATTGAATTATTGTTATCACTGTTTTGGTTCCCATTAGTGAGAATGACCATGGTTGTTTCATTTTCATTCATATACCTCATAACTTTCATCTATTTAACCAATTTTATACTGATGTGAATGTGAAACAATCCAAAGGATGATTTTCCTATCTCAAAGACATTTATTATAATGGTTGTTTGTATTATTCATAAGAAGGTCAAGGACAGTGAAAGAATAAACCACCATCCCTGATCACTGGCTGAACTGCATGACTGTCCCCATCTGTGTGTGTGATCTGTCTGTACTGGAATGGAATCAAATTTGTAGAGTGAGGTTCAGGACAAATGTCAAGCAGGACTCATCAGAAATCTTTCTGATTGGAGTATTGTCCTTTGTTATAGATGAACTTTCCTGAGCTATGAGGATTCTCACTCTTCTCAGAAAACTCCCAATATTATTCTTCAAGGTCTCCTTTATGAATGTTGTCACTATATTCACATGTTCAAGAAGCTTTACGTGAGGTACCACATATTCAGTTCTTCAAAAAATTTCCACAGCCTTTTATTTTCATTCTATTAATTCCCTTACTACACTACTGAGTTAAGATTACAACCAATTAAGTTAATAATTATATCTAATAATAACATGCATCCATCAAATATAAAAAATTCTGAATTATTGACATGAAAGTACTATGATATTGGTCCAGAACAATGAAGTATTTTAGGTTATACTTTGAAGACTTTTCCACATTGAAGTAGGTACTATTCAATTTATTAAGTGTAAAATTACTTAAATGATTGGCAATTGCTAATCTTCCTAAACATCTTTCGTTATTCTTCCAGAGCTTACAGACTTGATATCAAAATGTTTGCCTCTCTTTTGATTGAATTCACCTGGTGAAATATTTAACTCCCTCACTGCCATAGGCTGCAGTGCTCTACTTCTCACAGATCACTATGCCCTGCATTCAGCACAAATCGAACAGCACTATAGTTAGCAGCACATGCAAGGAGGTCAATATTTCTATAAAAAGAACAAGGAACTCAATGAGGGAGAAAATATCTTACATTTCTTCTATAAGTACAAAGCCATAGCATAGATTCACATACACAAAGATACTGAAACCCATAGGCAAATATGTTCATATTATAGCATTGTATGCATATTATATAGTAAATAAGACACTATAATTAACCATTAAAATTACCTCAGTGGGAAGAAAATCGTGCCTGAAATATAGATGCCTTAATCCCTCCTACTTGGACTTAGGACTTACTATCTGCTCTGAATGAGCTTGCAGTACCAGTAGAAAAACACATTCTTACTCACCTGCTCATTCAATGCCATTCACAGAGTTGTCAGATGCCTTCCAGTACAGATTATGACACAGGCTAAAAACTAAGCGTTGAATCTGTGGATAGAGATAAAAGTTATTAAAACAGCAGTCTGTGCTGAGGATTTAAACTCTTCTGTTAGGAAGTCACAGATATTCATGGAAATGTGAGCCTACTGCCAAGCAGCAGAAAATGCAGTGCACTTGGACAAAAGCACAAGGGTCTCAATGATTCTGAAGTAAGATTTGAGTGTGTAGTTCTGGTTAAATATAAGGTACAAATGCAGTCATCTCATAGATAGGAACATGAAAAACATTTTCTCAATTGTCCATTAGCCTGTTTAGCTTTTTATTTCAAATGTAGCAAATTCCTTCTCTCATTCCAAAACAGAGATAACTATGAGCCATCCCCATGCAGGACTGAGCTTCCATCTTTAGATAAATATGGTAGAATTTTTCACACTACACTGGATTTGCATCATTTGGTAGCGATCATCCTCTGACCTATTGACAATAATCTTTAAACTTTTCAATGAAATTGAAATGGAAGCAATACTTCAAAATTCACTCCAGGAAGCAAATGTTACTTTGATTCCAAAACCAAGGAAGACTCAACCAAAAAGAAAACTACAGGCAAATCTCCCTAATGAACATAGATGCAAAATCCTCAAAAAGATACTGGCAAACAGAAAACAGAGGATCATCAGGAAGATCACACACCCTGACAAAGTCGGATTTATCCCAGGGATGCAAAAATTGTTCAACATACTTAAATCATTAAATGTAATACACTGTATTGAATGAGTCAAGAACAAAACCATATGATCAACTGAATAGATGTAGAGAAAGCATTCAACAAAATTCAACACCCATTCATGATAAAAAAAAACCTTCAAAAAATTGGAATAGAAGGTCTTTATCTCAACCTGATTAATGCAATCTCTGAATAACCAACTGTAAGCCAGCATCATACTAAATGGTCCAAAAGTGAAAATTTTCATGCTAAAATCAGATCAGGAACAAGACAAGGTTGTCCACTATCACCGTTCCTGTTCATTACAGTGTTGGAAACACAAGCCACAGTAATTAGAAAAGAGAAATAAATAAAATGAATAAAGATAGGAAAGAAAGTATTTATACTGTCATTGTTTGCTTATGATATGATACTCTATATAGAGGACCCCAAAAACTCCACCAAAAGACTTCTAGACTTAATTGATAGATTCAGTAGCATAGCTGCATACAAGGTCAACATTCAAAAATCAATAGCCTTCTCATGCACAATTAACACACTCAATGGGGGAAAAATTGGGGAAACAATTCCTTTTACAATAGCATGCAACAAATGAAATATCTAGGAATCGATGTAACAAAGGAAGCAAAAGATCTCTACATTGAGAACAACAGCACTCTGAAAACAGAGATTAAAGAGGATATAAGAAAATGGAAAGACATCCCCTGTTCCTGGGTATGAAGAACTAATATAGAGAAAATAGTCATACTTCCAAAACTGCTGTACAGATTCAATGCAATCCCAATTGAAATCCCAACAGGATATTTCATAGAACAAGAGAAAACAATAAAAAAGTACATCTGGAACCAGGAGAAACCTACAATAATAAAAGCAATTCTAGGCAACGTAGACACATCAGGAGGTATCACAATTCCCAACTTGAAACTATACTACAAAGCCACTGTAATACAAACAGCATGATATTGGCAAAGAATCAGACCTGAGGATCAGTGGAATAGGTTAGAAGATGCAGAAACAACTCCAGACATACTCAGCTGCCTCATCATTGACAAAGGAGCCAATCATCCTCACTGGAGGAAAGACAGCCTCTTTAAAAATGGTGTTGGAAAAGCTGGATTTCAAGTTGCCAAAGATTAAAACAAGACCCCTATCTTTTACCTTCCACTAAATAAAATGAAAGTGGGTTAATGATCTAAATATTAAAACAGAAACACTAAACTTGCTGGAAGATAAGTTAGGTAGAACTCTCCAAGATATTTGCATACAAAGAACTTTAGGAGCTAATCTTCAATAGCACAGGAACTAGAAAAAAGAATCAACAACAGGGATCTCATCTTGTTAAAAAGCTTCTGCACTGCAAGAGAAACCACCAACAGAACTAACAGGCTACCTATCATGTGGGAAAAAACTTATCAGCTGTTACTCAGACAAAGGTCTACTATTTGGAAAATATAAAGAACTAAAAAAAAAAATCAGACCGCAAAATATAAAGACTCAATTCAAACATGGGGATCTGAGCTGAATCACCCTGCTGCAGACAGGCAGACACCTGGTTCCACACTACAAAGACACAGAGGACACCACACCAGACCAAGGTACTGAGTCCCACTGCTCCCGGCCCAGAATTAGGTGCTTCTGAGCAGCCATCCCACTGCTCCTGGTCCAGAGGAAGGGGTTTCAGTCACCATCCCTCCCACTGCTCCCTGCCCAGAGGAAAGGGCTTTTGGGCCACCTTCTGTCCCACTGCTCCTGGCCAAGAGGAAGGGGCTTCTGGGCCACCATCCCTCCCACAGCTCCTGGTCCAGAGGGAGGAGCTTCAGAGCTGCCATCCCACTGCTCCCAGTCCAGAGGAAGCAGCTTCCCGGCCACCATCCCTCATGCTGCTCCCAGGCCACAGGAAAGGGCTTTTGGGTCACCATTCCCACCGCTGCTCCCAGCCCCTGTCCCGCCTCTCCCAGCTCAGAGGAGGTAATCAGTGCAGGCGGCAACAGCCCCCCTACCCCAGTCAAAATGAGAAAACATGTAAATAAGTCTCAAAA